TCTCTCAGGTGGGGCCCCCCGGCCGCGAGCGAGGACGATAGATCATCGACGATCATGTTGACGTGCGTAGAGAGATAATTAAAATAAAGGAATTCTTCAAATCCTTTGCGAAAGTGTCGAGTTGATTATTGTAGCCGCACCCCCATCAGTCCGGTTTCCTTGGAAGAACAGTTTTTCCTGAGTAAATAAAGTTAATTGCCTACAAATATTATAATAGCAGCAGCCGGATTTCTCATAATAAAAGCAACTGTGGCTGCGATGCTATAGTGTAAAAAAGATGTATAATCTATGAAATTAGCGAATTTCCCATTTCCGATATACACTGCCGAAATATCCGGGAATTTCTTGAAAAAATAAGCACTGAACATCCGGATCATATAAAATACCATTTTTTAATGAGGTAGTCAAGTACCTGGCTAGTAAAGTAATTGAGACAATCGACATAAGGCGGATGCCACGTACCGCGCGACACATCGGTGGGGAGGAGGCCCCCTTCTGCGAGAAGAACAACGCGCGACGAGCTCAGTTTGCGAACAATAATCGATAAGATTATACATGTATGTACAATTATCTCTATTAAATCATTATACTACAAAACTGTTGTAACAGTATGTTTCTATTATTTTAAATATTAAGTTTACTTTATGTTTCTTTATACCATTAGCAGGATGACGATTTGAAAAGATTTATTATCACAATGTCAGAAGCGATTATAGAAAAAATATTAATCGGAGTGGATATTTCGAGAGAACAAGAACAAATACAGAGTGATCCTCTCGCTAGTGGACTCAAAGGAAGTGCCGCCACAATGTACATAGTATGAATGGACCCAAGCCGTTTTCGCGACGGGGCCGGGGGTGCATACTGTAGCTGGGCTCGTGAAAAGGTTTCGATGACAGAAAGGGGCTTGGGCCCATTCATACTGGTGTGGCGGCACTTCCTTTGAGTCCACTAGCGAGAGGATCATCCTGTAGATAAATGCCTTAAAATTCTAAGTAGATATATTTTGTAGATATATTTTGAATAAAATATTATTATACCATAAAATAATTTTCAACAAAAAACAAATCCGACTTCGAAACGCACTAAAAAGTGTCAAATAATTTCTATTCCATTTATGCCAATATTTCATAGCTATTAATAATATCTACTTAATCGTTAAATAGGATACCAAATACATTTCAGAGTTTTCGGAGGCGGCGCAAAATTAAAAACTTTTCTTCTACGAGGAAGATCCTAGTTCAGGCGTCGGCAACCTATGACTAATGACCCATTTGATAATTTCAGGTAAATAATATTCAACGGGAATCAACATGCCCATTGCGTATTAACTATACTGCAGTTCACGAGAGACCGTACTTAAGGGGGTAGACACGGCACGTGACCTCTCCGATTTGGGACGTCGGTATTACAGCAGTTTTTTCGTTGGGCCTGGTGGAGCCACTTGTGTGGTCTGGTATGAACTTGAAAGGTTTAATTCTCAGCTAGCGTGTGCGCAACACGATCTAGGAGGGCAACAGCGCCTCAAGTATTTTTACAAACACATTCAAACGTTCATCTCGCCAGAGGCATCGCGACGATACGCCTGAAAAATGAAAGCGAAACATTGGTGCGTGTTCAGAGTGAGATGTACGGTGATCGTGCTATCCTTCTTTCAACCCAAATGATGGAATTGTCCCGCTCCGATAAATTCTGACTGACTGAACGCGTGGATTTTATATAGCGCACCGTAGCACCCCTCGCTGCTGAAAAATATATGCCTACTCTGAAGAACCGAAGGAACGTGCAATCTGAGAAATTTGTTAGAAAAAGTTATTAGCTTCTTTAAATAAATGTTTTTTAATTCATAAAAGCATACAGCGTGCGTCACGCAATTGGGACGAGTTATATCTTGAATTTGGTAAGAGATAGGAAAAAGCTGTTCATGTAAAAGTTCAATGGTATGATAATGTTTATTTTTCTATGACTTCATTTTCTTCGTGAATGCAACGATGCACTAAAAAAAATGCATATCCACTTTTTATTTAAATGGAATTGCATTTTTTATTTTGCTTGTCTCAACTCCTTGAAACATTCTGCATAAAAAAGTACTATGGTATTATTAGAACTAATAAATGAAGGGACCTCGCGTCTACATATACAGTAAAAGCTGAATATATGCAACAGAGATTGGGAACCAGACGTTGCATACATCCAGCGGTGTCTACCCCCTTAAGGGGGTAGACACGGGTAATGCAGCGAGGTGACATTACCGGCAAATATGGGTCTATTAATGGGTTTACGGGAATCGGTTATTTGTCCTTATATGAGAACACATAGGGCTGGGTGAGGGCTCATTCGAAAGAGGAAGGTACAATGCAGGGCGGTCAACTCATGGTTTAACGAGATTATGTCCATATTTAATAATATCAGTGTCGAAAGTAGAAGAAAAAATCGACAAAATGCAGTTGCGAAATCGAAGCATTTTTAGGACACTAAAAGAGTTTTGTAACTCAAACGGTGAGTTGACCGCCCTGCATTGAACCTTCCTCTTTCGAATGAGCCCTTATTCAGCTCAAGATCTTCTCATATAAGGACGAATAACCGATTCCCGTAAAAGCATTCCCAAAGACGAGTTCCGCCATTATCTGGATACTACAGAGCAAGTCACGTGACAAATTTAGTTTAGCTAGTAGTTATAAGGTGGCGTCTAAGTAGAAAGGCTGCCGAGTTGGAATCGTAGTCAGAATCAAGCGTTAGCTTGATTACGTCACTCGAACTGTGCTGCGAAGGCAAGCGAAAAAGGCAACATCGCCCGAACGCTGAGAGAGACGCACTACAGTCATGCTGTCCTTCTCACATTCTGAATGTTGAGACTGTCCCCTTTCGCTAAGATTTGACTGCCGCCCGCCTGGATTTTCCACAGCGCCCCATAACAAACCTCGCCCCATTCAAACTATATCGTGTTTGGTATGATTTTAATCAGAAAAATTTCACCAATGCGCTAGTAAAAGTTTCAGTAAAAAAAAGTCAAAAATAAAAAAGTTTTATAATTGAATTAGTATTAGTCACACCGATACGTTTCGGCTCTTTCCTTTGATCATTAGACCGCTCTCTCTCTCCTCCACTGTCTGTCCCTTTCTACGTTCACGCTTGGCTGGTCGTCGCATCTAATTCGAGATTTGACATCTCGGCTGAATATATGCGAGGTCCCTCCATTTATTAGTTCTAATAGTACCATACTTAGTACTTTTTTATGCAGAATGTTTCAAGGAGTTAACACAAGTAAAAATTGATGCAATTCCATTTAAATAAAAAGTGGATTTGCATTTTTGAGTGCATCGTTACATTCACGGAGAAGATGAAATCACAGAAAAATAGACATTATCATACCATTGAACTTTTACATAAACAGCTTTTTCCTATCTCTTATCAAATTCAAGATATAACCCGTCAGAAATTGCATGACGTATCCTGTATATTTTTATTAATTAAGAAACATTTATTTAAAGAAGTTAATAACTTTTTTTTAAAAGTTTCTCAGATTGCACGTTCCTTCGGTTCTTCAGAGTAGGCATATATTTTTCAGCAGCGAGGGGTGCTACGGTGCGCTATATAAAATCCACGCGTTCAGTCAGTCAGAATTTATCGGAGCGGGACAATTCTATCATTTAGGTTGAAAGAAGGATAGCATGATCACCCTACATCTCACTCTAACCACGCGCCAATGTTTCGCTTTCGTTCTTCAGGCGGATCGTCGCGATGCCTCTGGCGAGATGAGCGTTTGAATGTGTTTGTAAAAATGCTTGAGGCGCTGTTGCATTCCTAGATCGTGTTGCGCGCACGCTAGCTGAGAATTAAACCTTTCAAGTTCGTAACAGACCACGCAAGTGGCTCCACCAGGCCCAACGAAAAAACTGCTGTAATACCGACGTCCCGAATCGGAGAGGTCACGTGCCGTGTCTACCCCCTTAAGGTGATGCGAGCGTCGAGGCCGAACTTCGAATTCCGCGTCGGTAAAACAGTCAACGTTGCATCGAAAATTAGACCGAACAGAAACTGATTTCAGCGCCACCTCAGTTATTGCATCCAACTAACGGCATGCTATTCTACATCACTTTTCGCATACAAATATAAATGACACACGGATGCTACGATAGCTATATTATGTATGCCACCGCCAAAGTATAAAATACGATACTGCATACATCACCTAGGTAATGTATGAATGACATAACTCCTTCACCCAAATATTATATATACATTTCTTGTAATATAACATAACCAAGGGAAGAATATTCCTACAAATCGAATGCCTAAGGTTAGTTTTTTTAAAAAAATAATATGTCCCGATATGGTACTCCGATATATATATAAGTGGTATCCAATCTTTTTTTCCGAAGTACGAATGTTTAGGAATAAGAACTATATCAATGTGATAGGAACGTAGTATATTTGTTTTTGAATAACATGAATTGTAATACTATGAACGAAATAAAAAGAAAATGATAAATTATAAAATAAAATTGTTGATAAATAATAAATTGCAATTAATTGATAATGCATTTACTTTATTCAATGAAAAAAATAAAAGATACCATAAACATTTATCATGTAACCAGTATATGTACCTACATTTATATACGATCTTCGTCATGATTTGATTGTGAAAAATGAATGTATATATACATAATTCACACTTTTCCTTTTTTGGGGGATATAGGAAAGAGACGGGTACTAAAATAACTGTAAACAAAATATATAATAACAAATAAAATATTTTATTTGACTGACGGCAGTACACAGGATAAGGAAAGGGGAATAAATGAGTACAACATAAGTAGCGGAAAATATTATATCATGATAAATAAGAGAAATATATATATAAACATATAATTAAGATATAAAACAACATAATAATAATAATAATAATAATAATAATAATAATAATAATAATAGTAATAGTAATAGTAATAATAGTAATAATAGTAATAATAGTAATAATAGTAATAATCGGCGGACCGAGGCCTGGGAAACGTAGGCTCTTGATGTCCACGGTCCAGTCCATGCTCCTGTACGGAGCTGAGATATGGGCCGGGGCCTTGGACATCAAGAAATACAGGACACGCATGGCCTCCGTTCAGCGTCGCGGAGCGCTGCGAGTCGTTAGCTGTTATCGTACAGTATCCGCACTTGCAGTGCTCGCGATCGCTGGGATCCTCCCCATCGATCTTCTCGCCAAGGAGAGGAGGAGGATCTTCGAGCTGAGCTCGGAGATGGACAGGACAGAGGCCGCGGGTATAGCGCGCGCTGAAACCCACTCGGAGTGGCAGCGTCGCTGGACCGCGGGCAGCACGGGCCGGTGGACAGCCCGGCTAATCGGGGACCTGAGGCCCTGGCAGGAGCGCGCTCACGGCGAGGTAGACTTCTACCTCAGCCAGCTCCTGTCAGGACACGGCTACTTCCGGAACTACCTGTACCGGATGGCCAAAGTCAGGTCCCCGACGTGCTATTACTGCGACGCCGAGCGAGACGACGCGTTCCACACGTTCTTCGTTTGTGCTCGCTTTAGCGAGGAACGCTCCGCAGTGGCCAACGCAGCTGACCACGACATCGCCCCCGAAACATCGTGGGGGTGATGCTGCGGAGCGTAGAACTGTGGGACGCGGTCGCGGCGTTCGCGACCTCTGTCCTGGTGGCGAAGAGGGTCGATGGATGTCTACAGGACCCCCGTCCAGGTCCTGTAGAATAGAGGAGGCCTACTGTCTGCGCAGGCCAGCACGCCACGGACCCAGACCGAAGTAATGCGATGAGCGGATTCCGGTCTGGGCCCATATGTGGGGTCAGAGGTGGTTTTAGTGGGTAGGCCCTTCAGCATAATTGCAGGAGGGAGAGTCCCACAGTCCCTCCGCAATACGTTGCGGGGGTCTGCGTAATGCATTTCCACCTCTAAAAAAAAAAATAAAAAAAAAATAATAATAATAATAATAATAATAAGAAGAAGAAGAAGAAGAAGAAGAAGAAAAATAATAATAATAAGAAAAATAAAATTAGAAATAAAATGATATGTTTCGGCCATTACAGCCGCGACCACGATCGTCTACATTGCCATCCTGCGACCGCGGCTGGACCATGGCGCTGTTTCACGCCGCAGCCGATTCATTTTTCGCCTGTACTGGCGAATTAGTAACTGTTTTGCCCTGTATGACTGGAAAAATAAATATTATGTTATTATTCATAAACAATGAATACCAGAAAAATCGTACAAACAGGAAAGTAAAAGAACTACTTACGTTCTGCTCCTCAGGCTCGTACAGCTAATTCAGCTGCGATACGTGCGGCTGATACGGCTGCGGAAAGAATAAATATTATATCATTATATATAAACAAAAAATAGCAGAAACAACGTATAAACATGAACGCAAAAAATAGGACTTACTGTATGTCCTGCCGGTTGGGCATACGGCGGTTGCTATGGCGGTTGCTGTCACGATTGCTGTAGCGATTGCTGTGGCGGTTGCTGTAGCGATGGGTGCGGTTGCAAAAATAAATATTATGTTATTATATATAAACAAGGAATAGTAGAAATAACGTATAAACAGGAACGTAAAAAAACGACTTACGATATACTCAGCATGTTGCTGTTGTGCCTGCTGATGGTCCATTTGCTGCAGCAGTTCGTGCATTTTTTGCATTTGTTGCTGCTGCATATAAAGTAGCTGCAGCAGCGGTGCTGTTTGCAGCAATTCTTGTTGCGGTTGCAACTGCAGCCCCTGCACCTGCTGTTGCAGCTGGACCAGCGGCTCCGGCTGCGGTTGTTCTGCATTGCAGTTATCCATATCTTGTGCACACGCGTCTAGAAAGGACAATTTTTTAACTTTTGTATTTGAGCCTGTGATGAAAATGTAAAATATGACATGTGTAAAATATATGTCATGTGTATGCTGAAAATTTCATTGAGATCGGTCAATGCACTGAGAAATTACAAGTTGTAACAACGGTAAAAAGAAACTTCGCGAAAGCGACGCAGTCTGGAAACGTCCAGACGATTTCGAGAAAACCGACGATAGAATATCGCGGGAGACAGAGACGCGAGGCGCGAGCGGAGACGCGGAACGCGAGCGCGGAAAACGCCAAATTCATTCCTGACGACGAGATCGTTGATTTCGGCGACCGCGGATAGCAGCGAGCGGATATAAAATAAGGGCTCGCGACGGCCTCGGTCTATTTCGCCTGTTGTTAACAGAGAGAAAGGACGAGGTAAGACCATCGGCCGCTCTTGGTCAGCAGGTTAGGGGCTCCGGCAGGAGAGTACGGTGATAATACCTGGACGCCTGCCGGAGAAGAGAGAGAGAGAGATCCCGGTAGGAGAGTTCGGCGACAATACCTGGACGCCTACCGGAAGAAGGGAGAGTACGGGAGACCTGTTCCTGGACGCTCGACCGACACGGAGAGTACGGCGATAATACCTGGACGCCTGTCGGTCGAGAGAGTACAGAGCATCTCCTGGACGCCCTAGTAGAGTTAGTTTCCTAGACGCCCGTTCGATATAGAGAGTTCGGCGATAATACCTGGACGCCTATCGAACGGGAAAAGTATAAACATGGCGCTCTTTGTAAAATGTTTTGTACGAATAAATAAAAAGGAAAACTGTACCCTACACCTTGTAACCGCTCCTAAAATAAATCCTATCTTTCCAACAGATTTCCTTGCATTTCGATTAACTATGGCTACAAAGTAATTAATTTCTGAAAATCGTGGCTTTTCATCTAAGAACGTAACTAGTTATGTTCTTAGATTGCGATTCTCGGAAATTTGAATTGTAACTTCTAAATGCATTGACCGGTCTCGATGAAATATTAAAACCATGCATATAACTCATTTGAATCTACGAAAGACATATTTTAAATTTTCATTATAGGCTCACATAAACCCACTGTACATGAGACAAAGCAAAATATATTTTTGTTACAAATGGTCACGTAATGTAATTGTCAATGACACTCGCGAAGTAAAGATAATAAGAAACACTTACTGTCGTTTTCGGAATCCATACTTCGAGTGTTGTTTTCCCGCTCGTTGCACTAATTGAACTGTCGATGCCAGTGAAATTTGAAAACGCGACAGCATTGGCGTGGTGGGGGGAAAGGACCGCGTTGCCATCTACAGGATTGCCTCGTGATATTATTTTATTTTCTGTTATATTATATTCAATTAAAAATTATATTATACGTTTCTCTCAGATATGTTTTGACTAGCGCAGTCTTTTTGTTCACGCGGTAGACGACGGAAGTGATGCTTCCTCTCGTCCATTCCATTGCTATACGCGCTCGTGTAAAGACACGTCGTAACGGTAATAAGATATTGTTAGTTATACTCAACAGCCGAAAGTGTCTAATGATACTCGCCTCTATTTTTGTGCACTTCGCATATGTACTATCTACAAAGTAAAGAAACTTTATCATTCGTTCATTCAAACACTTCGTTATACTCGCCTACCACTGCCCTCCGGGAATTTCCAAATATCACCTCGAAATAAGCAACTCGCTCGGGACTCGTAGAAACGGACCTCTCACTTTGCGAGCGACTTCAAGCAAAGAAGAGGGGATACCGTGTTGCGTATTTTGAAGCAGAGACCACTTGGTTATTTCGAGATAATCCTGCACTACTTCTTTCTTATTATTAGATGTAGAAGATCTTGAAAAACTAAATTTCTATCGATATTTTCAATCATTTGTGCAACAAATAAGCACAAATGGCAAATAAAAAAGGTACAAGTCAGAATATAACAACTCTACGAATATCAAACCGTAGTAGATTAGGTTAGGTTAGGTTATATTCTCCGTGGCGGGGATACCGGTGGAGGGGCAAAGCCTAAAACACAAGAATAATTACTTTAAATACAATGGTACAATGATCACAACTGAATGAGACACTCTATAGATACCCAGGTCGAGACCCCCTACTGTGCCATCGGCTGCTTGACACTAGACGACCACGGTTTCTACAGCGGGGATGGTTGTGTTAGTCACGTCTGTATAGGCAAAATTCTATGTATTTTGCGAAAGTTTTTAATTAATATCTCTGGAACTACTGGTCTGATGTGGATACCGTTTTATATTTGGGGTTTTCTCCCTCCCCCCTCTCCCCCCTCCAAAGCCCATGTCGATCGGCCACCGGGGCTATTCGGAACTACAGCCTTTTAAATATTCGTAGAGCTGTTACGCCCCAGCGGAAAATTTGAAATTTATCCGCCTTGCGTCCCTTATCAAGCCCTTTTGGGTTACGAGAGTATCTCATGTAAGGGGAGTGAGGTGGGTGTTTCACTTTTCCGTCAATCTTTTCATTCCTCCTCGACCTTGTACATTCTTGTCAAACCTTTTGAGGTTACGAGGATTTCTCATGCAGGGATGTACAAGGAAGAGTTTGAGTTTAATTCTTTTCTATTTTTGAGTTCTTCTATTGCTTTCTCTTCTTTATCTGCTCTATCCCGGACTCGTGTATCTTGTCAAGCCCTTTCGAGGGTTACGAGAGTACCTCATGCGAGGTACACGAGGAAAGGTTTTCTTCTATTTCCTTCTTTTCAATAGTTTACGTGACCCTCCTTGAAACTATCGTCGCCAACCAAAGTAACATAATACAGGTTAATACAGCGCACAAAAACTTGGGTTAGCTCGAGAGAGAGAGAGAGCCGTAGCACAACATCAGCGCTACGCAGTTAGCCAGTGCTTCGCATTTTGGGAATTCCCCTGCTAACTGCGTAGAAACGGAAAACCGAAATAACTCCTTTGTTGGAACACTCTTTCTCTCTCTATTGCACAAAGCGTCAGCCGGTCCAACAAGGATCATTATTACCTGATTGGAATGATAGCGTGAAAGAGTGGACGAATGAATATGCATTTAAACAACGAAAGTAAGGAATGAGAACCCTTATGAAAGCGAACGTCGCGAACGTTCGACCGCCGTTCGAAAATCAAGGGTCGTTGGAGACAATAAACACCATTGTATTGAAAATTCTAAGAACTGCCTGGCGACAACGGCAAATTTTGAACAAAGGAACGTTCTAGAAAATTGTTTAAATTCATTAGAAAGCGAATGCCGAATCCAACCGAACAAATATGCAAATAGATTGTATAACAAATGTATTATTGCCACGGCATTGTGATTACCATAAACGCATCATCCGCTTTTAAACTATTAAAATTGACCATCTTTGTTGCAAATCAGGAAAGCGAATAATTTTGATTTTTGTTAAGGGAGAATATACGGATGACGGCTTCATTCATTAAAAGACTATATATTTTAATCTTATATCTCATTTTACATTTCGACCTAATCAATAGCTGCGATTTTCGCAAAATTTAGTAATTGTACATTCAAAGAGAATTACTGCGTAGTTTCTGAAAACCGTTGAAACAATCATGGCGACGAATAGAAGAAAGGGGATGAAAGATCTTCGTCTAGCTCGCGCGTCTTAGCCAATCACCGGGCACGCGACACTGCCGAAAACGCACTACGATTCGTTAAACCGTCCCCTCCAAGGACGATGATCGCGCGACGGGCCCTTCGACCGTCGATCTCGCGCAAAATTCCTAGTCGACGTTCTCATCCGATAGTTCGTTTTCGCCGCGACAAGTGCGTGATCGAAAATCTTACCGTTTCTTTGGTGTTCCAGATCATCAAGCGAACACAGAGCATATTAACAAGCGAATTTATAAATCTTGTATTCTATTATACAGCGTATCGGTAAGTCGTTTCCATTACGTTTTCCGAACACGACGTTTATTTCAACTGGCAAAACGGGCGATTTGGTCCAGCCCTTCAGGGTTACGAGAGTATCTCAGGTCAGATCGTTTCATCAAACGAGGTATCGACCAATTATATTCATTTTGGGTGTTACGATTTCGCTTTTCCAACTTCTTGTTATAAAAGGGGCATCTTACAAGGAAACATCGGGGACTGATACACTCCCATTTTGATGAAACTTTGCATAAATATTTATTAGACCTGTATATGAAGATAACTGTAATTCGTTGGTGCCCGTTTTTCACTTTAAGGGAGATATCGGTAAATATTCGGAAGTGTAACTCTTGTTACGACGAGCCGCCTAAACGTACGTTAATCGAATTCTTCCCACGATCGGACAAACATCGTGTTACGGCCACCCGCCTAAACGATCGATATTCGAACAATTGAACTCCTCACGACCGGACACCTAAACATCATATTACGACCACCTACTTAAGTATTTGATAAGACGCGTTCTCACTGACATCCCACCTTGTCAATCATCGGCCCCTTCTCCATCACCAACGACATTATAAAAGACCTTACCGGACATAAGCAGAGTCAGTCGGGATCATATTATAAAAATAAAGTGCTAAACCTTTAAAAGTGCTATTCATTTAAAAACCAGTGAACTTTCTACGTGACAATCTCAACGATTTTCCCAGGACCACCCAGTTGGTCGGAAGAATTGAATAACAGCCAGTGTTCTAATGCTTATCGTATGTAGCTGCTCCAGTTAC